AGCCCTTCAGCTTTTGATTTTTCTCGAATTGGTCCCTGGCAAAATTTCAATCCGGCCCCTACTAAAAACAATTATTGCAATAAGGCCCTCGGCCTTAATAAAAATGAAAATCCGGGTTATTACATATTGGATAGTTATTATTACAATTTTAAGCTTTCATTTAAAATCATGGACAGTTAGAAATGTCCTGTGCAGGTCTGTTTAATTATAAAAATTATATATTTGCTATTAATTTATATATTGTAAACTTTACCTCATATAGGAATCTATTTTTAATGCTTCGAAGCCATTGGATTCGGGGAAAGATGTGACTCAGTTACATTTTTATTTATTTATTTATATCATTATGTGCTGGTGATTTCGTGGTGCAGGCAACCGCTTGCTGGTCATCACAAGAAAGAGGGAGAAGAGAAGCTTCTTCTCTGGAGGGGAGAGCTCCAGGGCGCATCGAGGAGCAGATGATGAGGAGGTCCCTTGCGTAGCCTTAGGCAGAGGATCTGATGGGTCGTGAGGGGATCCATTGACACAGCAGATTTCAAGAATTAGAGACGAGATTCGACTCAATATGGTGGTGTCGGCCCCAACTTGAGCGTAGTTGCTTCTTATACTTGGCCAACCAACCATGCCTGGGTCAGCCTTGGCTCCAATGACAGAGTGTGAGTTCGTGTTCAACAAGAATCCTAGCATCCACATGCTCTTTCCCAACGAACTCCACCTCAACCTTATTAGATCTGCAAGTCCTCCTCCGAAAAAAAACTAGACGCAGAAATTAATGTCTAGCCACATTCATGCGTACAGAGCGAAATCCAAAACCCAATCCACCTAAGAATGAAAATAGAAGCAGAGGGTGGATTAAGATTATGAAAACGTTGTTGAACCGATCAACGATATTTGGGTTGTTGGAAGGGTTGAGTTCCATGGAAGAATAATTTTCTTCTAGTTTACTCGATCATTTCAAGGAAGAGACGGCGTATGAAAAAGGGTGATAATCGTCACGTATATTATGATGGCAGTCAACGACATCTGTAAGTGGAATGCTGATTTCCAATAGTTTGTTGACCACAATTCCAAATAGCAGTCAATCGCATTCCATTAGTTTGTTGACCTAAATTAAGATAGACAGATGTCGGTAAATGGGAGGATGGTCATAGCAAATCAACCATGTTTCATGACGTCACGGTCCCATCCAGTGGACCCAACTTATCCTTTCACAGAAAGCATTCATGTGACTTCAACAAGGTAGCCTCTTTCTGATCACATTTCAACAGCCTTAATAATTGGTGTTACCTTCCCAGAATAAATTCAAACTTCCGTTTAATAATAAGTTTTTTTAAATACCTATATATATATATATATATATATGTATAATTCTTTTCCTGGTGGGTGAGTTTGGAAGAATTTGAGCAAAAAACTCCCAAACCGTCACAAATTTCACTATAAAGGCCAGTTTGCCTTAAACCAGTAGGGCGCTTGATGCCTGTTTGATGCCACGCTTAACCCGTGTAAGCCCGGCATCAAACAGGGCGCAAGGGGGTAGTTGAATTCACCGGGAAATTAATTACTTAGGGGCCTGTGGACTTAAACCTTACCAGTAGTCAAGGGTCCTTTTCAACTTTAATATGGCAATCATTTTACGTTTGGTTTCAACCAACCTAGACATAATACAGGAAGCAGGCAATGATAAGTTGAAAAAGCCACTTATCCATCTCATTCAACATGTAACCCAATACCACACCAAAGCGTGCTCATGCAGTTACAGATTCTTGCATAAATCTGCAAGCATCTTTAGCTTCCATCACATCTAGTTATCAACTCTTATCAAGTCGTCTAGGCAGTGAAAGGATTTGAAATTGTTGGCTCCAAAATGAAAAGATTATGCTGAAGAATCAAATCAATAAAATCTAACTACCAGGAATTTACTTTTGGCATATGTGGGTCCACGATAAGCCATATAAGGTGTTGTCCTTGTTAAAAAATAAAAAAAAAATCTGCCAAATAAAAGTTCAATGGCCCATTCTAAAACATGGAAATAGAAGTTGCATTTATCTTTTTGAAGCGACTAGCTTCTGCAGCAAGGGATGTGCACCACTTATCCTACAAAGTACAACAGACCTTAAACAACTAAACATATATCAACTCTAGTCATGCATATAAGGTTGTTATTTCAACCCTAAGCCGACCAGAAAATAGCAAATATACGAGTTCTCACTTTCATTATATAGTGAATGAAATCACATGAAATTTCTATTGTCCTAAGCCAAAACATTCTGTCAAATTAATACAAAACAACATACGCTATTTATGCATGCATAAACATTATTTATGTCCGACAGGTGGTGCAGGAGCTGTTACTAGGAATATTGTCCTCTTCGAAATCAAGTTAATGCCATTATTAAGTATACAATTGAAACAAAGTTGTTCTATAGTTAGAAATCTAACAGTACAATAAATAGACAAGAAGAGAAATTAGGGTAAGGAAACAACTTATGTGTATGCAAATGACTAATGACATCAGAAGACACTCTTAAGCCTCTTTGACAGATTTTGACCTAATTCTGACTGCAAGGAAAAGCAGAAACATGACAAAGTGCATTCCATAAGATTTGGTTACCGAGAAATTGATGTTGCATGGTCATAATTTTGTTGCATCAGCAGTTTGTTTGAGCAACATGGTAGGGTGTAGAACAGAAATATAATATGCAAAAGGATCAAGTCCCAAGCTGGACTAATGATGGGTGAAAAGCATAAGTTTATACCACACAGTCAACCCAGACTCATAAGAACACTCAGAGACACCAGAATACCAATTTGCAAATAACAAACAATGGCCATAAGCACTCAAATTTGATTCAAGTTAGCAAATAAATCAGCAAGTTAGCCTGGAAAACAGATATATGAGCAGGATGTAAAGCATTTTAGATTAGTTTAAAAACATATATTTCTATTTTAACTTTAATGCTTCCTTATTTTTCACCCTTGATACAAGGAACCTAATCCGGAGAAGGAAAGTTCTACAAACTTAATAAGAAATCTCATTGTTTCCTAGTAGTGAAGGCTTTAAGTTCAATATTTTAGAGTCTAGCCTTCACAAGCAACTGGAGAAATGAAACTTTGATTATAATCTCACTCCTAAACTATGATGGATCCCAAATAATCTATTTTCCTAAGCAAATAAAATAAGATGCCAAATTAAAATCAATTTCCATCAAAGCAAATATGATTTAATTTTCTACCAAAGAAATATGATTTAGTTGGTGCTTGATTTCCAATCCTATTAAGAATTGTATTTATAGAATAGCTTTCATCAATCTACATAACTTAACTCCTTTAGAATAAATGAGAAATGCTCAATGGTTTTAATTTTCTTGTATCAAAGAAAAGTAATGAGATAAAGGTGTACTCCAGTGACTCCAATCATGCCGCATACTACAACTTTTAGGTTGTAGATGTTAACTTGAAGATAGAAACCCTAACTACAAAATGATAGGTCAGTTAAGTCAACAATATAAAGAAATTTTATTCTTCAAGAAATAGTTTATCACTTCAAATAGCCTTCCCTTTCTAATCTGTCCACAGAAGCAACATATAAACAAAAAAGCAAGTTTCCAAATTATTTCACTGGTTGCAACTCCAAGGCCAAGCCCCATCCTCAGAATCACGCAAAGAAGTGTAGCACATTCCAGCAAGATTTACCAATGAATCTTCATCATTTTTTCACGCATCTCCTACTGAAGTAATGAACTCTTGCATTTAAATGGTTCAAAATTTTCATTTTACATTGTTGGCATGTTTTTGATCAACTGCCATTTCTGCATGCTCATCAAACATTTATGAGAAGGAGATATTCCTGTCAATATAATTAAACACTGCATTATATGCCAAAAGGTATAGCCATGAAAATGTGAACCAGACAAATGAAGAAACCATTAGAAATTCCATATCAAACAATTAAAACCAAAATGATTAGTTCCAAGATAGCAATACATTTGAAGAAATTAGGGCTTGTTTGATTGCAGGTTTAAGTAAGTTTAGGGAAAGTGAGTTCAAGGAAATTAGCTTTTAAATAGAACAGATTGAGAGAAAGTGGGTTTAGATAGAATGGGTTTGGTTGTTTGATTATAGATTTGACTGGGTATAGGAAAAGTGAATTTGGAAAAATTGGATTTAAATAAAGTTGGTTTGGAGAAAATAAGCTTAGATAGGGTGTGTTTGGTTGTTTATTTACAGAGGGTTTAACCGGTTATAATTAAACCCAAACCCAATTAAAACTTAAAACAAACAAGGCTAAGAATTAAATCTACAACATGCAGTCTTTTATGCATCATTATTCAATAAAAAAACACTAACCATTAGTAAGATTTCATATCACTCCATCATTATAACTATGTCTAGCACCGTCCTTCAGATATCAATAGCTTTGAGAAGCAAAATTTGGTACATCTTGCCTTTACCCTTAAAACTGCACAAGAGCGTACAAAAAGTCAAACCTAATGAACTTAGCTTCACGTGCTCTTAATTTTTGCAAATTCACAACAGCGCTAGTCCTACAGGGCTTATATTAAAATTGCTCTGCAGCTAAGGTAGAAAATGTAGAGCTGTCTGTGCAATCAAAGATATCTGCAAAAAACATAGCTATATATACAAACTACTGAAATTGTCACAGCAATGTCATTATATTCAGAGCAAATCAGTTGGTTAACGTATTTCTAAAACCAAATATATATTACATCGTTAACCACCAACACAACTGAGATTATACTAAACTTAGAATTACTTACTGTCTCCTCTGTCCTTGTAAACAACAAATTCTCAGCACCAAAACCAAGTCAATCCAAGCAAAGAGGATTCAGGGAATCATAAAAGAAACAAGAAATTATTTCCTCAGCTTTACTGAAAAAGGGTAACCAACCATCAACTCCTCACCCTACATAAAACATATTTACTTGAATGATGAAGCAATAGTATGAATAAACCATCTTCCTTGCCATGCTTTTATGAATTTATGTTGCATAACCCTGTCTATGGTTATGAGCTCCAGCCTGATAAAGGGTAAGATGGTGTATAGTCTTTGCAAACAATTCTCTCTGTTCAGGATATTGTGCCAAAATGGAACGGGCTGTACCTTCAATAACATTTAGTGCTCTTGCTTGTTCAAGAGCTTTACTATTGCCAACATTCAAGGCAAGGTAGCACAGTAATACAAGTCCATGGACTTGATCCCGACTATTGGTTCTGATCACATTTACTAGCCTTGGAACGCCATCACAGATAATAATGGCCTTTGAGTGATCTACACAATTAAAATTGTCCGGGCTTGCAAATTTGGTTAGAGCAATGACAGCTTCAGTGGCTACATCGGCATTCCTGTGCTCAAGTTGAGTTACCAGAGGACTAATTATCCGAGTTTCCTTTGCAGGAAACGTTCGGGATAAATACCCAATTGATTTTATAGCGGGAATCAACAATGTCGGGCTGTTTTCTTCATCTATCACTCTCAGTAGCTGCTCCAACACGGCCTTTGCAGCAGGAGAATTAGGCTTAAAAGCTGCTCGTCTAAGTTCAGTGTTCAACTCTGCCACAGCAGCTAATTCCATCACCACCATCAAACAATAAGTCTGCAACTCCCCTTTTTCCTTCTCAATTAGCTTTGCCAGACAGAGCAACCCTTTCGTCTCAGTTATCTTCCTGCTATTCAACAAACTCTCCCTTGAGAGCTTGCACAGAGCATTAGCACAACTAATCTTAAGCTCAAGTTTCAATTCAGGTGATTCCACACTTCTCTCCTTCTTCAGAGACGAAGAGGAATTTGAATGGTGGGAGTTGATAAAAGGGTTCCTAGCTAACTCCTTATTCATCTCAACTAAAGAATGTATACTAGTCTTACCCGATTCAAGCTTAGTATCACCCAAAACTATATCCATAGATAACCATGTCAACAAAGGCCTTGTCACATTCGCTCTTCCAAACTCCTCCTGCGTTTCTGGATCCATCTCGGCCATTCTGGCCACCAAATTCGCCACCGCGACCTGAACCCTCATCGGCGAATCACCCAGAACTTTAACAATAACCTGCACTGCAAATTCTCCGGCGATCGATTGAACCCTCTCTTGATCATTCCCCAAGTTGAGAAGCGCCGTGGAAGCAGCAACTTGAGCCTCCGGCGAGGCCCCCTCCTTCAGGAGTTTAAGCAGAGGGCCAACCCCACCTTCCTCAACAATCATCTTCTTGTTCCGATCGTTGATAAGGGCAAGCGAAGCGAGGTAGTCCGCTGAGTCGACTCGGTCTCGGAGCTGACCCATCTGGACGGAGGCGATTGAGGACCAGAGCATGGCAACAGTGGGGTCATTGCTGGCGATTGGGGGGAGAGAGAGGTTAGCCCCGCCCTCGGAATCGTCGAAGATGGAGAGCAGCCAGGCCAGGTCAGCGGCGGAGGAGTCAAGATGGGCAGCGGCCCTGCGGAAGTCGCCGGAGGTGGTGATGGCGAATAGGTGGGGAAAGAAGCCGCTCCGCCGCCGGCATTTGCGGGTGAGAGTGAGGGCGCGGTCGAGGTTCTTGGAGACGTCAGCGGCGATGCGGCGTAGGGGCCGCTCGTAGACAGCGCCCGGGGCTGCAGCAGCGATGATGCGGGCGGCGGCACGTAGCTTCTGCGAGAGTCGGTCGGCTTGCTTGGCCAGCTCACCGCAGTCGCCCTTGGAGGATTCTGCTTCCTGGGCCGACTTGATGACGCGGTCCGCTAGTAGGATTGGGAGTGAGAGCTCTTCTTGTACGGCCTTCCCTCCCTCCGCCATTTCCGTCCCCGGGTTGCCAATTTTTCAGAGAGAGAATGTACGATAGATGGATTTGGACTCCTCAGACAGGTGGATTTGGAGCGCAGAGGTATGTTCTGTTTAATTTAATTGGGAAACTAGTATTCCTGCAGATTTTTCTTAGAAATTGATTTTTAAAATTTTAAAATGTAAAGAAATAGTTGCTTAGAAATCTAATTGAGAAAGATGACAAGGGTCAGTATACAAAGTCCATGGTCGTGCATTAACGGGGTTGGTATGCTTTGCTTTTCCCTTTTGTCCAAGCAATGATGGTGGACTCGAAGTTTAACATTTAAGTTGAAAATTGTTACAATTAAAAGACTAGGTGGAATAGTGATAATAAACAAAATGTAAGGATGTACCCGTAATTAATCTCTCTCCTAACTGAATTTCAAAGTGGGCTCCCCTTTTACTTTCCAGGTGCGGTAAGTCCAGCGAAACCGACACACGTGGTGGCCAACAAACAAGGACCAATAAAATAGGACGTGCGTTGGAGTGAAGAACGGGGTCAGAAGAGTGCTCTGGAAAGAGTAGAAACGCGTAGCTTAAGATCAAATTAATCTGTTGAGGAATTGGAACCCGAGAAAAGGAACTTTATGAAAAACTTGGAGCTTATTCTGATGAGGAATTTTAAAAATATTCTGGAATATGAGCCCTCAATGCGTATCTAGAACAAAAAATTAAAAAGCGAGTTTAAAAGTAAAGAAGCTATTTTTCTCTATTTTATAAACAAAGCTGCTTGAATTTCTTAGAAGTTTCTGATTGGGAACTCGAAGACTAATTATGAATTTCAGGGAATTAATAATTGAAATTGGGACTAAGATTTTCTTTCCTTTGACACATACATCACCACCCGTAATCAGGACGTTTACACATCTATGACTCACCCTTCGAGCAAATATGACCAAATACAAATATCTTTGCAAACTGTTCAAAACTTCTAATTGAAATCTTATGAATCCGACGCATCAATCAATGCACAAGGGGCCCAGATTGAGTGGACGCACGCACACCACAAACAACTTAAATATACCCTCCACCACAATCGTTCATTTCTACATGAGTTGAGCATGCAACGCAGTCAACGGCCTTCGAACATGCAGAAGATTTAAGCGTGCATTTATAATAAATAGGCATGAAAAAAGTTTTTTAAGAAATATAACCGCAGCAAGCACGCCTTCAAATAGCATTTAGCCAACACGAGCCCCCTGTTTCCAGTCCAGCCAGAAGAAGAGTAAACATTTAATGCATTAACAGTCCATCAATTCAGGCTTTTAGGCTTCATTGTGACCACACACAACCAAAAAAACAAAAACAACAGTAACAACCAACTTAACAAGAAAATTAGTACTAGAAGGAAATCTAAACACAAGAAAGAGTTCTAAACCAAAGCCGAAGTCCGAGGACATTTATTACATATAAAACAACTATTAAAGGACACCTTCCACTAGTATATCCCAGCTTCTGACCAACACAACTAGAAAACCAGACCGCCATGTTTCCCACTCTTCAAAGCTTTGCCATCATCCCATTTGCTATCGGCTTTGCCACTCCATTATCTTTGACATCACTTTCTTTCCCATCCAGCTCACAAACATTAGGAGGCACGTCCACAGCAGGAGAGCAGTTAAAAAAACCATGTGGCTACATCCACCCATAAAGCATAATTACAACATAGGGATTAACCCTAATCAAACTCAGAAAATATTCTCCATGCAGAAAAAATAAGGAACCAGTGTTAAATTCGCAGTGACTAACTCCACAAAATGATGGAATTATTACATTTTTCAATAATCAATTTGATGGATACTAAGGACCTTTTACAGTTATCTAATGCAATTCATTAAAAATGAAACTACAACAGTGTATACAACAATGTGCAGACACTACTTGACCAATATAAACTTGAATAATGAGACATCTTAAATCAGGTTGGTGACAAGTTCAGAACTCTTTTATTCAAATATATACATAGATATCAAAATTTCCAGTTCCTATCTAGTGAGAAAACTTAAATATGCATGCATAAATCCCAGGTGCTCCACTGGTATAGCCAGCAAATCTATGGAATGTGAAATTCTCTGAATCCAATGACATACCTGAAGCATAAAGCCAATACGCTCAACGGGCATGACAGGCCAGTCTTCCAGCCGAGGAACATGGGTGATTCCAAATACGTACCTGCAAGTAATACGAATTAGAAGGCTGAGAAAGGCTGAATGATCTCAAAAGTAGTAGTAGTTCATTGACCACTTGAATCATGAAGATCAGAACGATTGCTTCACTGTTAAACAACCACTGCCTGGTAGATTATTCCCTTATTAGCCAAAAGCACCAAAAGATAACTTCATTCACACAAGTGAAATCAGATTGTCCTAATAGGCAAAACATCAATATCCAAGCAAAGACTGTCTGGTGTATTGTCCACTAAAAGGTGGAATAGAAACTACTCATAGAATATGCTAAAAAAAAGAAATGAATCACAGCAAATAATGTTCAAGATAATTTAAAACATTACCAGAGAACAATATCTGTTTCTTCCAGAGATCGATTTTGCTTAACCCATGTAGCCAACCCCTCACCAACACGGGGATTTTGATTAGGAAACTCTCCACCTGGAAAATTCTCATCGCAGGCATATGGTGTAACCCAGAGATTATGCTTCAAAAAAGCAGCTCTTCTTAAAAACTTGGCCTCAGGACTGGCTAGTGGCAAGCAATTTGAGCCAGGTATCAGCTTGTAGCCCGTCAACTGTCCAGTCCTATTGACAGTTCTTGTGTTCCTGACCTGAAATAGATATTGATGTGCATTGTGAAAAAAAGGGGGGCACAATCATAGTTCAGCAGGTGGAAGATAAGGTGTATGGTTCTCCTTGCACAAATAAGGTTACAGGCACATGTCATCACCCTTAAATGATTCTTGCTTCTATTATTCACCCATTCATTCATTTATTTATGTTTTTGAAGGGGGTACCTGTGAAGAAAACACGGTACCCCCCACCAATAGGTGGTTGGTTAAAGTACTAGGCACTCCATTCCCCTTGAGCAATGTTTCAAGTTTGAGTCTTTGTATATAAAAACATTCCTACTGAGAGAGCTCTACCCTCATTATAGAACCTCAATTAGCTTGAGCCAAATTAGTCGAAACCCAGTAGGTTTCAGATACTAGTGGTTTTGACCAAAAAATAAAAAATATGAAAAAAAATCAAGACCCCCCCCCCCCCCCCAAAAAAAACACATAGAATTGCAACGTTTGGGTGAAGATAGAAAGTGCACATACCACACAAAAATAAAGGCCACAGAACTTTATAGAGAAAGACCTCCTTTTACATTTGCTCTGTCAAGTAAACATTACCTTCCATATTTGCAAATGAAAGGAGAAATTTACAGCAACCATGGACATCATCAGTGAAATTGCAGACCAGATTTTATCTTTGCTCATCATGCTTTTCCAAACTATTGATACTTTACGTTGATTTATATTTAAAGTAAACAATCTTCGCATGTAGAACACACAGCAGAATGAACTAAATTTAGAAAAATACAGAAGTCAGTGTAAGAAATCTTACAATCCAGTGTCGTGCAGACAAGGGATCAATGTCACGCATTGCTTGCAGTTCTGATTTAAGTAATGTCTCTTCAGCAGAAAAAGCATTGTTGTGAACGTTATCCTTCCCAGGTTCTTCAACTTTAACATTCACCTCAGCAACCTAAGAAAGAAGTGAAATAGAGGTTAGTAAATATATATTCTCCCTCCCACTACAATTGTTGGAAAAGATGATATTTCATAACTGTACACTTTAGGCTGGCTGAAACCTACGATCTTGGAAATTCCATTATGGAACTATCAATCACAATATCAAGGAAGAGGCGAATGCCAAAATCAAATCCCCAAAGTACAATAAAGCACAACTGTTTGATGGGAAGGTCATGATTAAGAAAAATCCATATGCAAAGTGAATTAATGTCTGCAAAGGTTTTTCCATTGTTCCGCTTTCATCCACCCCTTACTCTTTTTTTCTTTTTTTTTTTTTTTTTTTGGGGGGGGGGGGGGGGGAGGGGTGTTTGGTAAAATGGATCATTGTTTACCACTATGAATGATAGGGAAAAAATGCTCTTGTGCTTCTTCAAAATCTCTACAGCAAACTAGAAAATTAATCTATTCCCTGCTATCTGTAAGGATTTTTCTCAGATGTGCAGCCATACAGATGATTAAGCTTGCAATGCAGTAAAATATAATTTGGTTCTCCAACCATGACCAAGTTTATGGGAGATGATGATTCCTCCATGCTAAGCCAAAATCTATAATCAAGCTGGGGTATTTCACAAATTGAATTCTAAACTGTCACAAACCATCAAATTGTGTAATTGCCAATGTAAAGGAACAAAGTAGTAGCTACTTCTATTTCAAACAGCTAAAGGAAAAAAGACTCCCTCCTCAGCAAAACCTGAGAAGGTAATTGAACACAACCTCAATCATCCTGCATGCAAATAGACTATTCTAGTTTTTTGAACCTATGACACCAGGTTGCAATTCACCTTTACCATTGAAATTAACTACTTTAGTTTCAGAACAGAAATCCTAATGCCAATGTAATGTGCTTTCACATTTTTCAAAAGTTCTTTCTTCTCTTGATATGTTGCTGAGTCACCAGATTTAGTGATTCAAGCAACACTCAGTTTTCACTTTGTTGACATTTTAATCACCACCTTTAACAGAATCCGATTTGCCGTAAAGATAACAAATTAGTCAAACTCAGAATTGCATATTTGGTTAACATGTTAAATAACTAGAGAAAAGATTTGTCATATGAATAATATCCTAATATCTGAAGTCCACGGAATCACTGCACCTCAAAAACTCTATTGCTTTCAGAGGGATAACCCAAACCATTTTTCTCTGTGCAGTTTTTAATTTCTATGAACAAATAACAGTGTCTGAATACCTCAGAGTCTCACCAATTGCCAGCGACTGGCTTTCAACTAATTTGAAGTTAGAATCTTTCCTTCTTGACCATCTGTCAGACAACTTGACCGTTTGAAAACACAAATAAATTTTCTCTATGAAAACCACAATATTTTCTCGTATGAACCATATTACTAGAACTGTTTGGTCTTGTAAATGAATCATTGTTGCCAAAACTGAACCTGTCAACTTTTCCCTGATAATTTCTAAATCCTATATTTTCCAAACACAACCATCAATAAAATTATAAGATTAAACGGCATCTGTCACAAAATTCCATTCAAAAATGTTCTATACAGCATAGGCAAGTGAAGCAGGTCAATTGCACATTAGTGAATGCATTATTAAACAAAAAGGATAGATTCTTGTTTTTTAGATGATGCAGGCTTTCATAAAGCAACTTTCAAATTTCTGTTAGAATACTAAATTAATTTATTTCAATTGATCTTAAGGGCTGACTTTTTTTCAATACTACAAAGAGGTTTCTCAAGGAACTAATCGAATTCAAACACTCTGCAGATGTAGATTGCTTTGTACTTACCTTAAACAAGCATGTCTCTATGTGTGTACGACTAAGCACATAAAGCAAGTAAAACATTCATATACTAGTAATAGAGGCCATAGTGGATCCCTAGGATGGATGATTTAAGTTATGAATCTCATGCTTGGTTACTTCCAAAATATCATTTAAACGATTTACCACGTTATAACATTATCATAGTCCATACAACATTTGAAATCCATGCTTGTGTCATATTTTCAGAATTTATGGCCAAGTGCAATAGAGATTGATCAAAATATGAAGGGTGAAAATAGATACCTGATTGTATGCTTCTCCAGATTTGCAATCAACAGCCATATTCATACGAGCAACAAAGAAATGCTGATGAACTGGTGCATATAACCCTGGAGCAATTGTTGTACCATATTTTCGGGATTCTCCTGGCTGCAGCGCTCCCAAGCTGAGAATTCCAGTAAGTTTAACTTCAGCTTCAATCTTCCCATCCTGTAACAACAATTGACATACAAACTGACTTTAACTCTAGCCCAAAGCAGATGAAGTTGAGATTACTTACCATCGCCACAAACAAATAATGTAAGCAGATTTAATGCATTTAACTCGCCTGGTAGAAGTGCCAGTAGAATCCATATTCATAATTTGCCACAGTACATATAAAAGAAACAGTTAGCCTTCTACACCTCCGAACCTCTGCTAAGCCAGTTCTCCAGTCTTGGTGCTTCCAAAGGATTCCATAATCCTCTTCATGCATGCATACACAATTTTCAATCGTTTCAACACCTCCGGTAAAATTTGTGAAATGGGAATCGAAGTACTTGATATATCCTAGGCAATCACATCCCTGTGGTAGTTTGACAAGAAGGGCAGCTATAGATTCATCCAAATTGAATAATTAAAGTATCAAAGACAATAAAATGAACAAGAGGAACAGAATCATAATAACATCACTAACCTTCTTCAGAGAATGTGCATTTTTTTCCAAGGCCATCTTCCCCTGCATCAAATGCATTCTTCCTGTAATGTGGCTCATTTGGATCTCCATAGGGCAAACCATTTCCACAAAACTCAATCTATGCGCTACAGGTCTTCGACCCCGATTTCCATCAACATATGCAACAGAATGTATAACCAAACCCTCCCTAGGAGTGAAACCAATGCGGAAGTTCCACTGCCAGCCAACAATAAAACAATTGCCAATTCAACGAAACAAGTCTGAATGCAATAGATAAATAAAAAATTCAGTTCATTAACGCAAAAACTACCTTCTGCCATTCAACATAATGCCCATTAACACGAAAGCTAGGACCTTCTGGCTGAATAATATGTAGGGGCTTCACATCACTTCGATCAACCCCACCTCTTGTCTCCCCTGGAGTGTAATTCCTCAAAGGATCAGCTGGTGGTAAGGGAACAAGTTTGCGGTCTTCAAACTCAATCACCACCATATTTTGCATATCAACAACTACATGAATGCCTTCAACTGGGCGTGCATAACCATTTTCCATAGGACAGTCACTTTCTGTTCGACAGAATATAAGTGGCTTGGCAAGCCTTCGGCTGGGTGCATCAGCTTCACTATAGTAACCAACACACCTAAAGCAAAAGAAAGTAATTGATTAGTGAAACCAAAAATTATAACCATATCAAGTACACTACCTGCATACCTATCAAAAATATCTCAACTGAGATTTAACTAACCAGGCATCAACCATAACAAGATCCATGTCCTCTACACCTCTCTTCTTCATTGCTTCTCGAAATGGAGGATGATCTTTCACAACAGCTTCACATTCAGCATATTCTACAGCATCCTGCCATACAGAGAATAATCTCAACAATAAGATGAACAGCTAATAATGCTTGACTGACTAACAAAAAGTGTAAGTTAAATGCAAAAGTTTGGCCACTTGAGTTACTGGGAAGACCAAAGCACTTGCCAGGAACCAGGGAAACAATTTCAACACAGCGTCAAGCCGTGAGTCCTAGACTAAATCTATTTGGATTAGATTCATATTATCGTAGTGTATGCTTCAAAATCATCCTTAGAAAGTTAGGTGTGGGATTTAAACCAGAATAGGCAGTTAAACTAGACATGCAGAATTGACCTTAAGTAAACCTCCTCATCAAGTACTCAACTGCATGGTGGACAAGACTTCAGGAACCAATTAAAATACCCAAAAGAGAAACATACCATGGGAGGCTGAACATCTTTGACAACTTGTGATGAAATGACTTTTCCCTTGTGATGTCCACCTCGAGTTGTTGCATGTACTTGAGTTAACTCAACAATCCATATGCTTGTCTGGTTGGATTTTTTGTTGTAAACAACCAGTCTAGCTCGCCTTGGAGGGAGCTTACTGGGAATTACAGGTCCACCTTTGGTTCTAGGCAGTAATGATGGCTGGAAAGGGGGGAAGAAATAGGCATCTGCCAAAGCAACAACATGCTTCTCAGGTTCCAATAGAACCACTTCAATAAATCGCATGCTATCCCTAACCTGAAAGGATCATATGGCATCAGACTAACACAGAAAACATGCTGAGTCAACCAAATACAAATAATTCTCATCGAGAATTAAAACAAAACAGTATACTACAGACCTCAGGGGTGGCTCCAGCTGCCCTTACAGTTGCCACAGCCACTGCGATTTCAGCAGCAGATAAGGGGTCCAAAGGATGGCTGGTTTGAGCCCTTGGCATGATTTGGATACCTACACAGACGTTCATAAATTAAACCACAGTAAAAAGACATAGCATGCTCTTTTACAGGGGGAAAAAACAGAGAGAGGGAGAGGAAGAGACCTCAACAATTTCAAAATCATAACAAGAACAATAATCATCGGGCAAATAAAAACCAATAATATACTTGGACAAATGAATGTGACATATTATGGCTCAATGTGGGATTTGTTGACCATATTGCTGGCATAAATCAGTCAAGAAGTTATTTATTACTCCCCACATCTCTTTTCTTGGGTGATTTTGCACAAAGTCCAGGAGAGAAACCTTTGAATATTAATTTTCTGAAAAATATAGACTTTTTGTACTCTTTGGATTTAATAATTGTGAATAGTATATTTGAACCATACACAATATTGTGTAATATGTGAAAGTAACAAACAAAAAACTAGAATTCAATCTTATATCCAAACCTTGAGAGACAAAAAGGAAATTAACTTAGACACAGAAGGAAAACATTGCATATTCTTTAACTGTTCATCTGGTGCTAATAGCATGACTTGTATGCACACCCAACCCAGATATCTATTTATATATAAAGGAAAATATAAAACCCAGCTATATCCAGCATAAATGGTGCCATTTGTTCATGTTATTATATTAATGAAAAGTGGATTAAAGTTTCCACAATGATAATGCATTCAGAGTCGCACTAAATAAGGTTCTACAAGCACAAGAAACCCCAAATTCTGTTGAAAAGAAACTGTGACACCCAGCACACTCAATTTCTAATTGCCAGAAGCAGCTTCCTATTAAACAACAGTAGGGCGGCATGTGAAAAGCTGTTAAACAAGGTCTTCAAATAGCAGATAAACTGAAAAAAAAAAATTAACTGAGGCTCTTTATTATGAAAAATATAAAATTTAAAATCAAATAGAAACAACAGTTCTATGCGCTGGGCTCAAACAATCCTCAAATATAACCGAACAGAAAGTATTTTCTTATTCTTCGAGATCATTTCCCGCACCTCGGATACTGAAAAGGTAAATGCGTGTTCTGAAACACTTGATCTTGCGTTTAGAAGTCCAGGATGAAACTTGAAGTTTAACAAGCCCATATACAGAAAGGTTAGAGTAGAAAAGAGTTTTGCAATTATATTAATTAGTTCTCTCAACTGATCTATAAGATCCATACTCGTCAGTGAAGTCCCGCACAAATATTTCAAATTTCCTGTTTCTAACCAGAAAAATCACTAATATAGTTTCCAAGACTCTAAAATGCATTAAACACACACACACACACTCTCTCTCTCTCCCCCCACCCCCCCCCCCCCACTTTATGTTCGCAACCATCTCTTGTTTATACACACCTTACAGATACAATGAAGATGCGAATGACGCAAATAAGTCCAACGTTTGATGCCAAATTAAAAAAAAAAAAAATCAACGAGGCATCTTAAGTTTATCATTATCAAGATCCAATACCATTATACCAAGATCATACGAATGATCTAGGAAAAATGCGTATTCTCAATCATTCGCTTATTCGTAAGTAAAGAATGATTGAACAAGAAAGGTACAGCGATCATAATTTAGTACCTTTAGTGGAAGCATTTGCTGAATGCTCGTTGCGAATCAAGGGCGCCGCGCCAGATTTCTTGTTCTGCGGCTGGTCAAGATGATCGCCGCCGGCCGCAACGCTCCAATCATGCACCGCCTCCGTCGCCGAAGGCGACACTGCGGCGGCGACCTTGCGAGGAACGGTGGCAGAATCACAACAAAGCGTCGCCTCTTTCGCAATTGTGGCCATTCTAGCGGGTTCGCAATCTCACCAAATCCACCGCAGTAGCGAGTGCGATCTACTGACATACAGCAATTCTCTGTGCACCACCTCTCTCTCTCCCCACTCCCCCGTACCACGCCCCTCTCCTCTATATATGCATGTAGTTATGAATCTCTACACACATCAACCATACAACAAACCAGAAAGTACGGAAGTGAACTCAGGAGCTACCGCTCGCAACAAAAATACGTCAGTGCTCATTCACTAGCGAATGAACTGGATTGATATACAGAGATTTGAGTCAATCGATTTGAGAGACACAGAGGACTAGAATTTTAGAGAGAGAAAATGAGGTATAGCGAAGATGAGAGAGACGAGGTTGTCTTTATATAAAGCGACCACCACGTGCAATGCCCCTAATTGAAATTTTTTTTTTCGCCTAATTTCCTTTTTTCTTTTTCTTTTTTTTTTTTACTTTTGATTTGGATTATTTAACCCGAGACCTCTGGGGGCTTATCGCAGGAGCAATAATAAGATAAGTGTTGTGGGGGTGATAGGAGCATCCACTTCTGCGCGGAGCAGACATTAAGGTCCAAGAATTTTCTCGAAATTAGCATGATAAGGCCAGAACAATTAGATATTATTATATAAGGTCACGATATTTTCAGATTCTGGTGTGTTGGTGTCAAAGCTCAGCCAGCTAAAGCAGTTCCTTTCCCAGTACAAAACAAACGCAACATGGCGATAAACACCCAGATTTTTTTTATTATTATAATCTGGTCTGTCCGTTCCCACCCCCAGTACCCACAAAAAGTAATTTCTCCAACAACTTCTGTTTTTACCACATAACTAGCGATGACAATAATTTCAGACCAAGATGCGTATCCAATCTGATTAATAAGACAGGAATTAAGCTAAGCACAGCAAACACCTCTCAACATCAATTATTCACTTATTAATTACAACAGTAGAATTATACAATGATTTATGATTATTTTATTATATGCTCTCAGTCAGCCTAGCTGTCTCCTACTTGGTTAGATTTACACATAATTTAGAAACATAAAATTTAAGTAGATAAGAATTTGGTGTGACAATGTGATGAGTTGAACTAAATAATAAACTAACCCAGATTGTCAATTTAAGAATTATGCCTTTGTTTTCATTGCTATTTCTTTATTGCCACTTGCAAGTACAGTTTGGAACTTAATTCCTGTCTATCTGGTTCCACATTGGAGAAGCCTTCATAGTCCAGAGCAAGAAGCCAATTATCTGACCATATAAGGTGCAATGACACCATATGCGTGTACAATGACTGGAAGTTGTCTCCCTAAGAGTGGGTCAAAGCATGTCCAAACAAAGCCTTTCAATAATAATTAACTTTTTATTCTTTAATCATTTCTAACCCACGATATGTTTTTAGTTCAATTATATAACTGTTTGGGGGAGTTAAGTTTTTAACACTTTTCAATTTTTAACTGAAAAAATTACTTTAATTTATTTGGATTACTTGTTTTTGAACTTTTTTTTTTCTAGCAAAAAATAACTAAAAGTAAAAGATTTCAACAATACACTTCTTATAATTAATTGTATACTTCTAAGTGATTCAAAATACTATTCAATAATTATTCGTCCAATATTTTTATTGAATTCTTATATTATTCTTTGCCAATTAAGAATACAAAAACCTTGAATATACTCAATTAAATTAAAAATTAAATTAGAATTTAAGAACAAGTAAAATTATATTTTTAAATAAAAAATAAAATTATATTAAAAATTATATTTTTAATTCATTTAGACTATAAACATCATATATTTCACCAAAATAAAATTAAAATAAAACCTTATGGTGGTTATATTTGTAAATATAACCTTTACAAAAATACAATATTAAACCTTATTTACCATCATGTTCGATATTTCATTTCTTATTTTCACCTTTTCTTCAAACACCCTTCTCATAAAATCTCTCATTTTTAATCATGGCATTAACCTAAAAGCTACAACAAACGACAAATTTGCACAGAAGGAATCAAATTTTAATTTTTTTAACCCTAGGATAAGGATAAGGATATAAAGATATATTTACCTGCATTACTAATTTGGCTTGGTTCTACCGTGCCAGATGGACCCCACTACAGATTCTGACCCATCTAGGAAAGAAAACGAAATTGCACGGAGTGAAAAGTAGGCGAAATTACCGATAAGGGCTCGTGTAAAAAGCTGAGACCAGTAGAGTCAAAGTACTAAATTATGACTAAACATTGAACAGTTCTATTTTTTAGTAAATTACACTGCGTTAACATTTATCCATTGTCTGTATTTATTTATTTTATAAATGAATAAATTAATTTTCATGACTCATAGTTTGTAATTATTTTTTTTCGTGGGCTACTTCGTATAATTTACAGGATTATTCTTTTAATAATTCTTTTTTTAAGGTCGCGGGATTTGAAGGCAATATTAATCCTAGTCACATGAAGGTTCGTCCGGTAATTACCTACTGCTGACGTGGCCTTGAGTGATATCACGAGCCCAACTCACCTGTTCTTAGACCACCGATTCGATCAGTCCAGAATATGCTGGTATCTTCAGATGCTCAGAAATTTGGATTTTCACTTTTTTATTTTTCTATTTTTATACTTAAAATAAATTAATTTAGTATCTACCAAAATTCATTTTTAAATTATTTTTCATTATAGTAAATGAAAAAAGTATAGAGAATAAAATAATATCAATATAAAATTTAAATAGTATTATTTATTTATTATTATAGGAGAGAATGGGCCACTGAGGGCGTGTTTGTTTTTTTATTAGCAACTTGTGTTACTTAACGTCGAATTTGAATATTACTAAAATTATTTTTTTATTTATTTTGTAATTTTAATTCCTTTTTGGACCACTCTGACACGTGAAAGTTATTAGAAAATAAATAAAAATAATTATGAAAGGAATATTGGTTGTTTGTTAAAGAATTTCAGTGGTTCACAGCTACCACTAGCGTTGATTGTTTAGTTTTATAATTGAAGGCTAGGAAATATTATTATAATGGTGGGATCAGCATTTATATTCCAAGGCTAGGAAATTTTATTATGACAATTAATGGTGGGATCAATATAGAATTTTAAGTAAAATAAGATTTGTACTTTATTAAGATGTTGTAATTATTAAAATTGATAAATAATAATTTTATGAATTAACAAATGATAAAAAAAAATTTATTAATTTTAACATATTATGTATATGTGTGTGCGCGAAGATTTTCTCTAAATTTGTATATGTTAAAAAATTGTTTTGTCTCTGTGTGCTTTTATATTAAATTTCTTTTTAAATTTTTGTAAAAAGTTCTATTTGAACTTCTGTGATGTTATCTCCAAAGGCTCTCTGGAAGCTGCCATTGTGGGCTTATGAAAGAGTCCCATGTTTGATGCTTTCGAAGCCCAAAAACCCTACTAAATTGTGGCTATTAAACATTAAAAAAGGCAAAAGTCCAAAGCTTCCCAAATACCAAACAAATCATTTCGTAAACATGTTTCAGTGGACAACAATTTCATTATGTTATACGACCTATATAACATATATTACACTTTTTGGTCAAGGCCTTCACAAACACTTCTAACCCACTATTGGTGAGGTTTGGAACTGGATTAACTAGATAGGTCATTTCAAAGTTTTCCAAGACTCTTGCCATGGATATATGACAAAATTAAAATTTTAGAAAATTTGATCAATGCAAGAA